TGCCTAAGGTGATGCATGTTAGTAATGACAGCGAGCAGACCAGAAACCAACCTCTGCTGTTGGCCTGGGAGTTTTGGCATGGGCAGGTTTGGTTGGAACGAGCTGCTCTAAGACTTGCCCGTCCTCTAGATCTTTGTTGACAACTTTGTCCACGCTGACCTGCACCCTGGGAACATCCTGGTTCAAGGCACGGCCCATGTCAGCACCAGCTGCAAGGAGCAGACAGCCATTGTGGACCTGTGTGACACGCTCGTGGTGGAAGTGCAGCCGCCCCTCAGGCGGCTCTGCCTGGTGCTGCTGGACGCGGGGATCGTGGCGGAGCTGCAGAGCGCTGACATGCAGAACTTCCGGGCTGTTTTCACGGCTGTGGTCCAGGGCCAGGTGAGGCCTTTGTCATGGGGCTGGGGAGCTGAGACTGGGGAAGGGAGACAGCTGAGGAGTCTGATGGCCAAAGTGATTGTTTTCTCTGTATTTCCCCTTCCAATCCTCCCTGCCTAAGAGGGGAGAGGAGACTTGCTAGCATGGAAGCTGTACCAGACGTAGGGATAAGATGTTCAGCTACAGCAAGGAGGCTGCCAGAGTGGAGTGATTTCAGTGGCCCAGGAAATGGAAGGTGTTAAATGGGAAGCAGTGGCTGGCCCTCCCTGATGAGGAGTGCTTCTGGTGCAAGTTAGGACTCCCTGGGAGCCACTTGCGTTTGAGACTTGCAGAATCTGCCAGGTTTTGCTAGAGAAGAGGAGGGAATGGATTAACATCTTGAGTCTTCCATGCATGTTCCCTTCTGCAGCCTTGCTGCTGGAAAGCCCATATGCCATCCTCCGTTTTGCTGTTGTGTCAGTCTCTGTAGAGAAGAGGAAGCAAAACAGGTGGGGGTGAGGGGCTCTGGCCTCTGCCAGGCTCCTCTGTGTAAGGGGAACTGCTTTATCCTCCTTCCTGCTTACTTAAAATACACTCTCAGATGGACTAGAGAATCCAGTGCTAGTGTCTCCTGTTCATTCTGAGGACAAGCATAGAATCACAGAATCACAGAACAGTTTTGGT